TGATTACAATCTGCATTTTTTTTTGCAATGAAAGAACAGAACAAGATAAATTGGAATGGAATGGAATAGAATGGAATGAATAGAATAGAATAGAATAGAATAGTTCATGCATGATAAGGGTGGTATTTATTAAATATTCAAATCAGTTATATATGTGTTTATATATATATACAAAATATTTTTGCCAATTTTTAAATTGATATATAATCTACAAACAGTAAAATTCATCCTCGTTAGTGTGAAACTCTATGCATTTTAACAAAGATAAATTTATTTCTGACTATGTCAAAAAAGTGAGAAAACCACTTAAAGCAAGAGTCTACTTAACTAAATATTCATTGAAGGATACGATTCTTTTAAGATCTTTGGAAGCAGTGATAACTGTCTTATCTTGGAAGATAATTTCATACACCTCAAATTTTAAAGCCAAATGAGACCTGAGAGATTGGTCAGTCAATGATTTTCAAAACGTTCTTTTTACAGTGATAACTTTTTTATAAACTAAATCTAACATGGAACCCCAACGTAGAATTGACTTGCACAGAGACCATGAAAAACAGTTTGAAAACTACGAATGAGGTCTAACTGTCTTGTGCCCAAGCTGGGAAACTGAGGCCAGAATAGGCTGAGTGACCCCTCAATGTTGGCCACTCTTTTTGGCAGAGCTGGAGCTCAAACTCAAGCTGTTGTTGGCTGTTATTCAGGGCTTTTTCATGTCTCTTGGACTCAAGAGAATCATGAGTATTACTTAACTCCACCAAGGGGATTGGGTGGATACCTTTTTGGAATAGTGCAGTGTGTCTGTAGATACTCACATACATTACAGAAGAAAGGATAGGCCAATGATCACCATGGACAGCAGAAGTATGACTCAGTCCAAGAAGACCAGAACAGGTTGTTTGGGCAACATAAATTATTTAGGGAAGCTAGAGCCTGAATATAGAGCCAGGCCTGGGAGCCCAGTACCAGAAAGAAAAGTCATAAGCCTCCAGAACTTGAGGAATCAGCCAAAGCCTTAGAGCTACCCACTTCCTGATGATTCATCCCTGGGTTGTCTGCCTCTCTCTTCCTAAAGGGCCATGATGAGGCCCCCACTTGAAGTTGCATTTTAAATGTAGCCTCTTGGTCATACAAGAAACTGACTGATTTGTCTTCTTTCTTATCTGGGACTCCTCTTTCACTTCCTTACTCTTTGGTTTGTGAGTGGGAAGTGGGGGGCAGGCAGAGAGGCTGTTGTGGGCAGGTCAGGGAATATAACACTCATACTCATGGTATGTAAGTTCTGCATCGTAGGCTTATTACTCTCTGTATCTATTCAGTGAACTAGCTTCAGTGTTTGGACCATAATGCTTTAAGAACACAAAACCCACCAACTCTTTAGGAGCCTGCTATACCAAAATGCCACAAATTGCCATTCAATATCCTACCTCCCCAATGTCATCAATGAAAAGAGAAAAAGAAACCAAAGAGGGGGGTTAGTGACAAAGAACATTCTTCTATCACAGCAGATACCATGTCATGTACAGCTGAGAAATGCCGTATTTGATGAGCAAACCATTGTACCATACCTTTTAAGAAGATGACATTAATGAATATGACCTTGAAAAAGTCACCCCAGTTCCTCTTTTCAGATAAATTCCTAGACAAGTATCTACCAAATGACATCATTCAGTTACTAGCCCACCAACATTCTCCAAAAAGGAACAGGGTCAAGTGAACCATCCTCTTGCCTACTATATATACAGGGTTGTTTCCATTGATACTTAGGGATCATCTCTCTCTCTTTCTTTAAGATTATTTATTTATTTATTTATTTATTTATTTATTTATTTATTCATTCATTCATTCATTCATTCATTCATGAGAGACACCGAGAGAGAGGCAGAGACATAAGCAGAGGGAAAGACAGTCTCCCCACAGGGAGCCTGATATGGGACTTGATCCTGAGACTCTGGGATCATGACCTGAGCCAAAGACACATGCTCAACTACTGAGCCACCCAGGTACCATCATGTCTCTGTCTTTATTGAAAGAATTATTAGCAACTTTTTTGTGTGTGTGTAATTTGAGATTTGAGTTTTTAAGTGAGAAACTTCTGTGATTTTCTAGGTATTCCTGAGTTAGATTAGGGTAGCCTCACTCTAACATAGTGTTTTAAATTATTGGAATTCTCAAAATACTGGTGTCTGATCATATTCCAGCACACAGTTAACATTCTAGAGTAATTTTCTTTATGTGAGTTTTTAACTATGCAGCCTCATCACACTCACTCCTAACAAAGGTGTACACTGAAAGTATCACTTCTCATATGGTTAAGCAGCAGGAACTCCTGTTTTAAAAAGGACTATAGGGAATATTGGTGGGGGGGAGATTTTTTTGGCTGAAACAGCAAGTGTGAGCTGATTGAGTTAAGTGTAGAGGACAAGAAACAGGGACAGCTGGGTGGCTCAGTGCTTATGCATCTGCTTTTGGCTCAGGGCGTGATCCTGGGGTCCTAGGATAGAGTCCTGCATCGAGTTCCCCGCAGAAAGCCTGCTTCTCCATCTGCCTATGTCTCTGCCTCTCTCTGTGTGTCTCTCATAGATAGATAGATAGATAGATAGATAGATAGATAGATAGATAGATAGATAAAATCTTTTTTAAAAAAAGAACAAGAAACAGCATTCAGTTCTTAAAATTAAGAAGAGGAAGTTGAGATAACAATAAGTACCTCCTCTTTGATAAGCAGAAGTTGACAGACACAAGGAGGTGATGTCCTCTCAGGTATCAGAATGTTCTGAGGTGTCCTGTAGGGAGAAATGGGTTGAGGTATAATTACTTAAAGAGTGAAGTCAATGACAGGAGTATTTAACAATATTTAATCATCTATTTAACTTACACATGACGTTGCAATAAATGGAAAGCAGGTATATTAAAAAAAAAGACAAATATTTATTGGGCACTTTTGTTGTGAGTTTCCCAGTAGAATGTGGACAGGTAATTTGAAGTGCTGGGAGTGTTTGCTTTGGCAGCACATAGGCTAAAAATTGAAGTGCTGGGGAGACTCAGACTCTAGGAGGTACAAGAGCATGATGAAATCAATCAAAACCATGTTCAAGTGAAAGGAAATGCATTATGGATTATTTGGCTGGTATCTCCCACCTGAACTGGAATAGGTAAGTGGGATGTTTGCATTTTGCATCTATAACATAAGAGAATTGCGTGGCAGGTTTTTGTAAGTGTATTTAGTGAGTTTGGTTTTTTGATTCATTCAGGCTGGGATTTGAATCCCTGGTTGGCCAGTTACTCAGTCTATGACCTGGGACATTTTATAGGACTCCTCTTAGTCTCAGGTTCCCCATCTATAAAACAAGGTAACCAGGATCTCACAGACCTTTGTTAAGTGAATAATCAAATGGCTTCTATAAAATAAATCAACATGGAACTTGATGCATACTAAGTACTCAGCAAATAGGTATTGTTCTCTGTGGTATCTGTTTTAGTTACTGTTTATATAATAAATGTTGATTGATGAACTTGGTGGAATATGTTGTATTACAAAGGTCCTCTTTATATAAGATGAAGTTCTTTTCGCTAGGCTTTATTTTTTTAATTAAAAAAATTTTTTTTTACAAAGAAGGGAATAGCTCCTTGATTTAAAGTGTCATTTCTAGGGGTCTTGGGACAAGTTCCTTGTGAGAGGCAGATAATGTAGAGGCTACCACTAGAGGGCTCTGAGGAGACCCTAACATCCTTCCCTTGGCTACAGTGATGAAGAGGAAGCAACTCTGAGAAGCCCTGGCCTTTCAGAAACCAGGGGCCATTCTGTTCCTCGTGGATGTTCAAGAGGGCAAGTAACAACAAGCCGACTTGCCACTCCTGCCAGGCACCTAGGGGGATGCCGGTGGATGTCACCAGAACCTATTGCTCTACTGTCACTCTCTGCCTCTACCACTCCACTGATTACTCTTCTGGGGGTCGAGAATCACATTGTGCAATAGAATATCAACTTTGAGACAGGAAACCAGGTAGAGCGGAAGTTTCTCAAACTGGGTAAGGATGTAACAAAAACAAAACCCATCTTCAATGACCACTGAATCTTCAGTTTCCCAGAGGAGGCTGGGACCCAACCTGATGTCTGGGCAGGTATGAGTAATATGTCCATAAAGGCTTGTAGACTTCTGGGACTGCACAAGCCCTGTGCATCCTACCTGCAGGGTGGTGGCAGGGCACCTTTAACGAAGCATTATCATTGGGTAAATGCCCTGGCACTTGGTCATTTAAGGATCACTCCGGCCAGTGATGCAATAGGGATGTCACTGGTTTTCTAGCACGCGTCATTGGCCAGTCGCTTGCCGTTGGGTCTGGGTGGGAGCACTGAGACTAGTGCCCACAGAGGAAGTGCCAGACTGGCGCTGAGGCTGTACCTGGGAGCTGGGCGGAAATGACATTTTCTCCGCCTCCAGGGAGCTGGATCTTGCTGGACCAGGCAGTGGAGGCAGGAACAGAAATCTCAAGCCTTGGTTTTCTTGTTGCCCCATTGCTGTATGGACTCTGCATCTCCTCCGCCCCCGTCCCCCCAAATCGTTGTCCGCTGAAGCCAGACAAAATAATGTGCTCCCCAACTCTTTCAAAAAAGTGGAACGCAAGTCACGGGAAGCTTTGCTTTTCTTCTGACTTCTTCCTGTAAACCACAGTTCAGGACTTGGTGCAGGAAGAGTCAGCTCTCAAACCGAAGCCGACCTTGCTTTTTAACCTCCTGAGACACTGGGGCTAAGTTCTCCGGTGTCCCCTCCCCTGGGCTGGGGGGTGTGGTGGCGGGGGCCGAGCTGACCGGGGGCGGGGGGCGGGGGCCGAGCTGACCCGGGGCCGCCGCCAGGACGGGGCCAGGAGGGAGGAGGCCCCGGGGCTGCGGGGCTGCGGGGCTGGGCGGCCGGGGCGGGGGGCGGAGCAGGTGAGCCCGGGGGTGGGCGTGGGGAGCGCACTTTGTACGTGACGTCGGAGTTCGCGGCAACCGCCGAGGCAGGAGGCTGTGGGCGCGCGTGCGGAGCGGCTGCGCGGCCGGGAAGATGCGCTCGGAGGGGCGGCCGCCGCAGTGAGCCGCGGCGACGGGAGCCGGGCCCGCAGCCCGGGGGCAGGGCCTGAGCGCCCGGCCGCTCGCGCTCTTCCGCGGCCCAGGCCGCCGGGACCGACCCGAGAGGCGCGCCCGGCCGGCCCCAGGATGTAGGCGATCGCGGGGCGCTCCTGCAGGCGGACGGCTCATCATGAAGAAGCACTCGGCCCGGGTGGCCCCGCTCAGCGCCTGCAACAGTCCGGTCCTTACCCTCACCAAAGTGGAAGGTAACGGCCCGGGGCGGCGGGGGCTGGCAAGAGGTCTCTGCACCCCGGCGGGGGGCCGCCACCCTACCCTGCGCGGGCTGCCTGGCCGTGGGTGCTGCTCGCTCCCCAGGAAGAGCCGCCCGCAGTGCAGCGCCCCATGCTGCCTCCGGGGGCTGGGGGGTGGGGGGGGACAGCTCCGTAGCTCCCGGGCCGGGCTGTCCCCGCGCTGTCGGGACACAGGGCTGGCCCCTTCCTGCGTGGCCCCGAGCGCATCTGGCAGCAACAGCGGCAGCGGTGGTCTGAGCTCCTGCCCATCCTGTCCCGAGGCACCTGCCAGCTGGGGCCCGAGGAGGGGTCTTGCAGACACTAACCAGTGCTCTCCAGCACCCCCACCACACATGCACAGTCGTGCACACACACACACACACACACACACACACACACACAAACCCCTTGAATCCCCTGGGTTTGAAGCAACCCCTCCAATCGCACCCCCACCCCCAGGCAGACCAGAGGTATTGCTCCGCCGGTGGAGGCAGGAGATACTGCCGGAGGCCGGGTCCTCTCTCCTGCCCCTCAAGCCTACCAGCCCGCCAGCAATGTGACTGCCCAGCAACCTGGGAATGGGCCGGCGAGCAGGTGAGCAAGAAGCCACCAACAGCCTGTAAACAGGTCCTTTCTGGGACTCAGGGGAAAGACACACACTCAGACACAGCTGTCATTCTGTGGTAGTAAAGGAGACCTTCCTTTCTGACGGGGGCGCAGGGGGTTTGCAGAGACAGAGCACTCTTAGTCCTGAACTGCTGCTAACAGGAGGTGGAATGACCAGTCTCTGTAGAGCTGGCCAGTTTGGCCAAGCCAGGGCTGGGAAGGGGCCACCAGCCAGTGGGGAGAGGAAGGCAGACCAGACCCCCTCCATTCCAGACCCTCTTACCCTGAACTTACAGAGCCCAGGGCAACCAGTGTGTAAGGGAAAGCCCGGCTTCTGCCGTGCTCTGGGACTACAGCCTAGAGCCCAGACCTGTATCCCCTTGCAAGCGCCTATTTTTACAGTGAGACAGAACCAATAAGAACAAGATAGAAGCTAGCAGGACAGTTGTGTGCTCCACATGCAGCCCATCCACTGAGGTCTGCCAGGAGCCATACTGGTACCATTACCCCATCCTGCACATGAGGACTGTGACACCTGGAAATGTTGGATTGACTTGTCCAAGACCTATCACTAATAGGTGGTGAAACAGAGATGGAATCCTAGGCTCTCTGATCCCAAACCCATGCCTTTCAGAACATTATTCTGCACTACTTACCCTTTTCATCATTTTCTGTCTATAGAAGGTTGATATTTCCCCCCTTCATGTAGCTGTCTCTTCCCCTCCCCCATCCCAATCTCAGGAGAGGCTTGGTATCTGTCACTTACACCTGAATTTAGTGCATGTGCCAACTTTCCTAAGGGGCTTGGCACTTCCAAGTCTTCTCAAGGATAGCATCCAGATGTCCATCTGGACATCTAGCGGGGGAGAAGGGGTAGATATGTATTTCCCTTAGGGGAGGTGGAATTGTCTACTCACTCTTGGGGACTTTGGGAAGTCACCCCACCTCCACCTTCTAAGTAAGGCAAGTCAGGCTGCTCTCCACCAGCAGTGCCACTCCTGTTCATCCCCAGCCCATTGTGCAGGATGGGTCTGAGCTGCACTTGGAGTTAGGCTGGACACGGATGGTGAGGTCACCCAGGCTGGGTGCCGTCACCCCCAGAGGTGCTGCAGGAGGCAGTGAGTGACATTCCAGATCCAGGTTCACTTCAGGGAATAAAAATGGAGATACCTTCCCCGGTTCCCTTAGGGCTGCTGTCAGGTGAGCTTTGAGATTCCTGTCCACGCTGACAAGGTTAGCAAGCCATGGACTGGGTTTTCTTAACCAACAGGTGCACGCACATGTGTGTGGTTAGTGGACAGAGAATCAGAGAGATCGGGGATCAAGATTGTGCTCTTCCTCCTGTACAGTTGGACTTGTATAAACCATAAATGCTGAGCCTCCATCACCTAGTTTGAGCCCTGGTAAAACAAAAGTAACAACCTACCTCAGCTGACTTTTGGGAATGCACTGAGGTAGGAGAGGTGATAATACCCAGCACCTCTCTGGCACACAGTAAATGCTTCATAAATGTCTGGCAGTCCTCCTGTCACAGATTGTCTTGCGCCTTCAACAAATACCTTCTTGCTGTTCTCAAGGAGTACATGTGTGGGGATGGTATCTAGAAGCATCTACATAGTCTCAGTGAAACTAGAAGGCCCCCAGTTCCTGTTTTGTATGGGATCCCTAAGCGTATGTCAGCAGAGGTCTTCAGTTCAGGGCCTGATAAAACCTGCCCTTGGTATGCCTGGGCACATGTGTAGCACTTTTTTCTCTGCCTGTTTTTTTTTTTTTTTTTTCTTTCCTTGGTGTTTTTGTTCAGTTTGGATTTTGGTCTATTTTCTGAAACATTTGCATCTCGTGTGCTTGCTGTGGAAGTGCTGAATCATTTTGTTTTGCCTTGGATGCACAGGGCAAGGTGGTCCCCACACTGTAGCTGTTTCTGTGTGGATGGCAGACAGGCTACAGTGACAGAACACAGCCAACAAGGAAGATTTATTAGGTTTTGGAGTGCGTCTTCTATGGGGAGGCAAGAAGGCACCAGCATGTAATACGTATAAAACCAAAATAGAAAATGCAGTACTTAGTTGAACTTTAACACAGGAAAATGGACAAGATGACTTCATTTACTCAACAAATACCTCATCCAACCTTACTCCATCCTACTTCATGTCCCTTGTCTATTTAGCAAGGCCCTAGAATTACAAAGATGGACATTAGCTTCGTTCCCTTAAGGAAGTTTTAGTCTAGAAAATAAGAGACATTCAGACAGATATATTTTCTCATATAAGACAGTAAGTTCCGGTTCAAAGGTAAGAATAGAGTGTCCCAGGGATACTGATAATTGAGTAATGTGAGGAGGCCCTCCTGAGAAGGAGGCCTTCTTGAGGTGAAGACTTTCCTGAGCAGGAGGACTATCTGAGAAGGAGGCCTCCTTGAAGAGAAAGACTTTCCTAAAGAGGAGGCCTTTTTGAGGAGAAGACCTTGTGAGCAGGAGGAGGCCTGTCTGAGGAGGCCTTCTTAAGTAGAAGAATTTCCTAAGCAGGAGGTCTGTCTGAGGAGGAAGCCTATCTGAGGAGGGGGAATTCTCCAGGAGAAGACTTTCCTGAAGAGGAGGAGGCCTCTTTGAGAAGGAAGCTTTCTGAGGTAGAGGTGTTGTAATTGAAGTGAGAAAACTTGTTAGGCACAGAAGGGCGGGAAGGCTGTTTCAGGCAGAAGGAATGGTGTATGCACAGGCTTGGCCAGGAAGCATGAGGAGAGAGCAGCTGGGCCCCAGTTAGGGCTTGAGTCTTGAAAAGTGGTTTCCAGCCAGGTTGATGGCATCTGTCCCATCTTACAGTATATCTTGTTCTCATATCTTTTTCCTCTCCTTCCCATCGGACTCAGACACTGAATATCCATCAGTAACACATCTCTAGTTGAGGGATCATCTATGTTTACCACCAGCTAATCCACGTTCGATGCAGTTACATTCAGTAGGAATCAGTAGTTGAACACAGTACATTTCCCCAAGAGGCAGGCAGCATGTAGTAAGATGGGAAGACTGAGGGCTTTGCAATGAGATAGACCAGGTTTACTGCCCGCCTCTCATGCTGAGCCAAGTAACTTTGGCAACTTTGGCGAGTGATTGAAGCTCAGGGGGAATGTGTTCTCGCATATGGAAATGAGCGTGACAAGATAGTCCCTCTACCTATGAGAATAATCTTTTTGCTGATGAGCCTACCATGTTGCAGGCACTTTGTTTGGGGAGATTGCTACCCTATTGCTATTTCTCCCAAAGGAAGGATAAGCACCCCAATTTACAGACAAGGAAGCTGAGTGTCGGAGAGATCATTCATGCAAGGTCATGCAGTTGGACAGCAAGCGGCTTCATATCCGTATCTACCTGGCTCTGAAATGTTGCAACACCATTGTACAACTGCATTCCTTTTGAGGAGCAATGAGAAATACATCTGCTTCTGGCACTTTGCAAGTGCTGAGGAAGTTTGCTCACTGAAGCTCCCCCACTTCAATATGATGTAGAAGTCTGGATCGCCCTGGGGGCTCACTGTTTTGTGGGCTCATCCCCGTGGCTCCCTGCTGTTGATATTCTTAGGACCTCTGCTCCTGGGACAGTTGGCCTGTCTCAGCCACAACCGGTGGAGGTGTGACTGCTTTGTTTCTGTTAATGGGGTAGGGCTGTCATCCTGGGATGCTCCATTATTGTGTAAGTGGAGATGAGGCCTGTTAGTCCAATCTGAGAGGAATCTTGAAAAATATGCTGCCAGAGTGTTCCTGTACCCAAAAATGTTTCTCAGGTTGGATTGTCCTAGACCTGAAACCTCAATAGCATATTTGTTGAACAAATATGTTACCTACTCAGATATTACTGAGGATGAACCAGATATTATCGAAGATGCCTGGGGAAGTAAATAATAATCTTTGACTCAACAGAGCTTCCAAAAGGTGAGAAATGTCACAAATGCATACAAATAACAATTACATGTTGGAATATAATTTTTTTTTTAATTCCATGAAAGGGTTGTAAAATAAATGGTGTGTTTCAGCAGAGGGCAAGCTCACTTCTGGCTGGGACACAGATGGCCATGGCCACTATGTAGCTCCCTTGCCACCATTCCCCTCTGTTTTGTCAAAAAGACATCATCAAACGACCATCTTTCCTACTGAGCCTGGATGTGGCCTCAGCATCCTCCTTACCACCAAGATCCTGGTGATGGCTATACGTTCTTTGGAATTGGACTTCCACATGATCAGGGTGGTGTGCTAGAGGTTTTCCTGTGCCCTCAATGTCGTGGGCGGGAACTATGCACGCCTGGCAGAGGCAGCCCACGGACACAGGTGCAGAGCCGGAAAGGGCAACCTGCCAGCCGTCTGCTGGGGCCCGAACTCCC